GACGTGCCACATATCAAAACACTCGTCTTGACGAGACGGACAAGCTCACAAAATTTGAGCATGATCCGGCTAGGGACGAATGAGATGTGGACGTCGCAATTCACGATTCATGACTGTCTCTTTCATGGAGATTACTTGCAGGGTGGCCGTACGGGAATAGTGTGCGTCTCCTCCTGTTTTTATCTTTGACCCATAACGTCTTCCTTGAGTGTCCGTTTAAGCTGAAATTTGACCCTTGGGGGTTTTCGACCATTCTGGATCCAATGGCCATGTTCCCATAGCCATTTGATGATCTGATAATAGGGTTCCAGTTATAGGGGTCCGTTTCAAGGTACGAGCGGCTCATTCTGCCAAAACTGTTTCTCAATCTACACTACCTTACGGATTTAGGAATGTGACAAAAATTGATAGAAGGCTTTTACGAGTCCTTCTAAAGATTTTGACCTATTCTGGAGCCATTCTGAGACTGTAGAAATTTCGACTGTTTATCAAGCTTTATTGATCGGCTTCTCTCTTTTATTTCGTATTGGGGACCCATGGCGCCGAAAAATGTCTTCAAACACCGACGCTGCCCCTCTCTTTTCTCAAATGGTGCTGCCCCTCTCTCTTCACAAATGGCACTGCCCCTCTCTCTTCATAGATTGCACTGCCTCTCTCTCTTCACAGCCGACACTGCCCCTCTCTCTTCTCAAACAATGCTGCTTCTCTCTCTTCACGAAAACCTACTGTCGTGTGCCTTATCAAAGCTAAGAAGTCTTGGTCCTTACAGTCGATTTAGTGCCAAGTGATGGATATGCTTGAGTCATTATCGGTTTCATTCCATCACGTGTACAGGGAGGCAATAGTGTATCTGATTGTTTGACCAAAAGGGGGGTTACTCTTGATTTGATTTCAATTCTAAATGATGTAAATCTAGGGTAATTTTCAGCAACAAATATGATAATTTATGCAAAAAATTAAAAAATGAGGTTTCATTGGAAATTTGTGAGAGGGGTGCTAGTTTGGGAGTTAAGGAAGGGGTGTAATAGAGTAGTGTTTGATGGAAAAGTAATGGAGGCTAACGAATTGATTGAAGAAGTAGGTGTGGTGGCTCTAAGGGTTATGGGGAGTTTTTAGGATTGATATATTGTACAAGATATAAAATATATTTAAAGTAAATGGCTAAGTTACTCCTAGAATTAGGGCTTGGGAACTAGTGATAAGCTCGGTGAAACGGAATTTTCATGAAGGGAGCTAACCCTGGAGGGTAGGGATTGTGGGATTTTGTATGAGATCATAATGGACATATTTTGAGACAATATTGTGTGCCATTTGGGGCAGTATATGTTGGATATTAACATATCCAAAATCACCCACATAAGGAAATCACATATTATGTGGGATTGATATTGCTATATATATAAATTTCCTAAAGAAAATAGAAATTCAAAAATATTTGGAATATTGGGCATATCTCTTGGTTTTAAGATGCATAGAACATCTATTGGAACTTTCCTATTTAAGATTCCGAACATTATATATATGGGACGAAAGAGGAAAGAATGTGTGCCTTTTTTTTGGGTTCACCATATTGGAATGGCTGCTTCCTCTAGAGAGAGAGAGAGAAGCTTGGGCCTCCTGTGCATGAGAGGTGAGTCTCCCTTAGAGACGAGAACTTCCAATGGATAGAAAAATATGATGGTGCCTCTTGTAGGCTGAGAGACTGGTTTGTTGTAGAGAAGCAATTTCCATGATGATTTTAGGTGGTTGTCCTTTTTAACAAGAGAAAGCCTCGGTTGCTCTCAATATTCTTTTCTTGGATAGTGGTTTAGCTATGGAATAGGGATGTGTCTATTTCTATATAGTGGTTTGGCTATGGAATTAAGATAGGAGATGGGTGGGTTATGCTGATTAAAATAGCAGGTTGTTCGACTAGGTTTTTTTGATGATTAAATAAGCAACTGTGTCTCCCAAAATCTGTGATATTGGTACAATAAATTTCTACTTACCATGCCTGTGGTTGTATCGTTTTGGGGGTGAATTACATAAATCTATGTGTTCTTGTGACACGCGTGTGCTATGCTTTATTTCTAATATTATGGCTCATACTTTCATCTATTTTGTTTCTAGCTGTAAGTACACATTCCTGAGGGGATGCAACTTTTTGGGATTCCTGTTTCTGCATCTAAGAGGGTTCTTAAATCGTAACAAGTGATATCTAAGCGCTTGATTTATTACAAGGCTAGTGTTTGTGCATTCGGTTGAAGAAAAAACACATGCAAAAATATTCTAGTTTTGTATTTTAGTTGGAGAAATATAATGGCAAACACAATCTTTTCAGCAAAAATGACGAAGGGACTTATTTGACAAAAGATGAAGAGCTCATAAAGCTATCTAATGGATGTTGGCATAGTGAGTAGGTGATTTTGATATCAAGGTGGAGATTATTAAAATCACCGACATAAGGAAATCTCATATTATGTGGGATTGAGATTGATATTTATAAGTTTTTTAAAGACAATAGAAATCCAAAAGGATTAGGAATCTTGAGTATATCTCTTGGTCTTTTAGATATATGAAACATTTACTAGAACTTTGTGGATTCCTAGCCTTATATATGTATGATGAAGATAAAAGAATATGTGTACTCTATTTTTATATTATCTTATTGGAATGGTGGCTTCCTTTAAAGAGTCAGAGGCAATGGCCTCCTGTGCATGAGAGGCAAAGCCTCTCTATAAATAGAAGAAAGCTTCTAATAGATAGAAAGATGGCGATGGTACCTCCTATAGACTAGAAGGCATGTTCCTTGTAGAGAAGCGGTTCCAATAGATATTTTGGGTGGTTTTCCTTTTCAGTGAAAAAACGTCTCGGTTGCTCTCAAGGTTCTTTTCCTGGACAGTGGTTTAGCTATAAAATTAGAGATGAATCTCCTCCTAAACAATGATTTGGCTGTGGAAAAGAGATAGGAGATTGGTTGGCGATACCGATCAAGAGAGCGGGTCAAAAAGAGTTGCTCGATGGGTCTCATAGGGTAGGGAGCAAAAAAAGAGGCATACCTTCTTCACCTTCTATAGCTAAAATTTGTGGAGACGCACGTCTCTAGTGAAGACACGACAACAGTGGAGCTTGGAAAGAAGAACTTAGGGTAAGGGATGGGAATCAAAATGAAAATCCCATGACTTGAGTAAAGGAAAGTTCGTGTGAGTTCCCTCTATAACGAAGATAGGTGATTCCAATTTCTTATAAGGGATTTTATGAAAAGAAAAGTTCCCTCTAAAAGCAACAGGTGGAATGTCTATTTGAAACTTAAGGGTTATAGCATAAAGAAGCGAGTGATGGGTAATTCTTAAGAACTGACTCCCTTAAATTAGGATCTTTGGTCTTTCCTTTTATGACTTTCTCCAAGTTCTCGTAACCAACATAATCGGCGGTCAAAAATCCTGCCGAGACTTGCTCTTCAAGAGAAACACTCTCTGGAACTGCTTGGATACAAGGGGATGGTGCGCTTCGGTGCACAAGTTTGCTCAGGGCCGAGAGTTCGGTACGGTGATTGCTGCATTTAGTGGTAGCTTTCCTCTTTTTGGAGGGAGCTTTCCCTTTTCCAAGTAGGTTATTTACAAGGACAATGCGTAGTAATGAAAGGCATTACACATACCTATGCCATACATTAGTGGTATTTGATACACCGTGTGACACTCCATTGTCATTTTACAATAGTTTCCAATGAACGAACCACTGAAGTACAACGATTGGTCTCCACTGTCCATCGTCTAAAATAAAAGGTGGATGCCCAGGGTTGTAGGGCGGACCATATGGGTAGTAAGTGCATGGCACACATTAGAAAGAAACGAAATGCGGTTAGGCTTGACGTCGATCACATTGACATTTTCAAAAGCCTGTCGCATGCAAAGAGCATGAGAGAGCCAACTACACATGCTAGTACTGGTACTATCCGAAGAGCGTTGGACTCGTTCTTCTCGAGTTTTAGAACGAGCTCTTCTAGCGTGCTCCCGCTTGAAGTTCTTATGCATCTACTCTCTCGGATAAAGGATATATAAGGATTTTATCAATAGGGATTGCAGGCTATGAGACCATTTATCATTAGTACAAGAAGGTCACAATTAATCCTAGCCGTTAGATGTCCAATTGGATGGCTTGGAGTGTGTCATGAAGTTCAAGGAATTTTTTGTTGGGCTTTTAGTGTAACCACAAGTAATACTTACCATCATTTGATTTGAAATTTGAAGAAAAATAATGGTTGTAACCTCCTTGTACTAAAAGTAAATAGTCTCTGTGTATACTTTGCCTTTTCAATATTAAATATTGCAACTACATAAGTATTTTATTAAAAGATGCAGTTTCTATAAGGCCTACTCTTTACGAAAATAAAGTAAAGCCTCACTTTAAATCCTCATTAGAAAAGCACATTGGGGATCAGAAATCTCCATGATGGCTCTAAAATCAATTTTCAACACCCAATATGAAATTTGAAGATCAAAAAATGCTAAAGGAATAGATAATGTCTTACAGTATATATACTATTTTCAGGGTTTGAAATTCATTTTCTTTTCTTTTTTTTTAGAGACATATGGTAAGGCTGATATGATCGATTTGAAGGTTTTCCAATACCATAACAACAATTTTTAATTTATATTGACTTATTTATTTTGATAAGGTTGCAGCCCTATCAAAATATTTTTTTTAAAAAAAAGTGAAATTGGATTTTGAGTTTAAAAATAGTGTTATGAAATTCAATGCTCCTCGAGCAATCTTATAAATTTTTTTCCTATTCAGGTTATTTATCAGAACATATATGGTCCCTTGTGAGAAAATTAAATTCCACAATTCGGGGCACTAAAAGTACTCCAAAAATGGAGTTTTGCTAGAGGGTGTAAATCGAAGATATGCTCCGGCGAGAGCACACGATCTTTTGCCTATTTGGTTCAAACGGGTGAGTGTCGATCAAGGATATTTTGGATCATGACCTCCCCCTTATTAAGTCAAGCAGGAGTGCACTCCCTGGCATTCCAAATCCTGGCTTCCCACAAGAACCAAAAAGCAAAGGCATTGGCAACATGGCTGCTTTGTCTGCATCGTTCCTATTTTATTTTGTCTCTCTAATTCTGGCTCCTGCTGTTCAAGCCAAGACGCTAGCCGCCACCCTTAAACCAATGCTATATGCGTTTCCTTCCTATTTGCCTTTCATTTTCGGAGACTCCTTGGTCGACGCCGGCAATAATGACTACATCTTAACACTCTCCAAGGCCGATTCTCCTCCTTATGGTATCGACTTCACAGCTTTCAGTGGCCAACCAACAGGGAGGTTCACTAACGGGAAAACCATCTCTGACATAGTCGGTATGGTAGTCTACTATTACACCTTGCATTAGCATTAGATAGATGATCGCTCAAGTTCCATCAGTGTTTTAAATTCCGGTGGGTCGAACTAGAATCCCCAATTTCAACGTGCTAACCGGTTTGGCAGGACACTGTTTGGGGTTTTAAAACATTGGTAACACCCATCTTCAGAGTGGATGTTTAATCTATTCCCACAATTAACCATCCTACTCTCCATCTATGCTTAGGTGAATCACTGGGTGCAAAGACCTATGCTGCCCCTTACTTAGCACCTACTACACATGGTTCGGTGATCCTTGGAGGTGTCAACTATGCATCTGGGGCTTCAGGGATTTTAAATGAGACTGGTTCCATATTTGTATGTGTATTTCTCCCGATGAAGATGTTTCATGCCATAAGTATATTCATAAGCTTCCAATTCTTTTACCTTTTAATGAATTTGCACTCGGTTCATTTATATTGTTTATCTTTTGGAGTAGATAGGCAGAGTTCCTTTGGCGAAGCAGGTTGATTATTTTGAGGAAACTAGAGAAGAGTTGGTCAAAATGGTAGGAGAAAAAAGAACCAGAGAAATTTTGAAGGAAGCGATCATCTCAGTAGCAGCAGGAGCAAATGATATACTGAACTATTTGCAACCTCCCTTACCCATCATAGGCAAGAAGAAGGTCACTGCTAGTGAACTTCAAGATGCCATGGTGTCCAACTTAACCCTTCAACTCAAGGTGTCCATGCTTATACCAATTGCTTATTTCTTTCCATATTTTCTAATCAGTCCATTTTTCCCTTGGCTAAAGAGTATCTAAGGTGGGCTTGAAATTTGAACAAACTCAAGGTTGCAGCCAAGACTAACTTTCAATTGAAATGTTGGTTTGATGATAAGGACCACATCACCCTAATTCATAGGTTCGAATTCAAGCCAGCCACCACAAAGGGAAAATGAATCCATTTTTTTAGTTTAGTGTTAACTTTACACGTTGTAGGAATGGAACTCAAGCGTCATGTTGTTTGAGCACTAGGCCCTTAAGCATGTTACTGAGATAAGAACATTCATATTCTGTATTAACTAATTGTTTACTTTTCACTAGAGATTGCACACATTCGGGGCCAGGAAATTCGTAGTGGTCGATGTGGGACCTCTTGGATGCATTCCATTGATTCGCGCACTGAATCTTGTGGCGAATGGGGGTTGCTCATCGGATGCTAATAAAGCGGTAGTGGGATACAACAAAAAGTTGTACCAAATGTTGCAGAAGTTGAACATAGAATTGGGACCCCAAGCTATATTTGTCTATGCAAATTCTTATGACATAGTGATGGATATTGTACAAAATCGCAGTAAATATGGTGAGATTAAGAAAATATCCTTTCCCCTCTCTAGAAATTGTTCCATCTAGCCTCCTGTGGCTAAACTTACGGTTTATTTGGCATTGCTAGGTTTTGAAGATGGAAACAATCCTTGTTGTGGTGCAATTCCTCCATTCATTTGCATTGTTAGAAAAGATACAAGAAACAATAGTTCCATGTTCTGTGATGACCGCTCCAAGTTTGTGTTTTGGGATGTATTCCATCCAACTGAGGCAGCGAACAACATTATTGCCAACAAATTACTAGATGGCGATAAAACCAGTGCTTTTCCATTCAATATTCGGCAGTTGCACAAGTATAAAGCATAAGATAAAAATTAATCAATGAATTATGAGTTGACTCTTTGGGCCCTGGACTAACTACAAACCTAATGGTGTTCTTGGTTTCCTGGATTTTGAATGTTGTTCAACAAAAACAGTGAAGGGGTCCAACATTTCAGCCCTCTGTTCATTTTCTTTCTTCAAAACTTTTTATGGGAAAAATTTCTTTTCAAACCATGAAGGGTCGGACCATTCTCGGCTCCAAGAACTGTTGCTAACATTGAAGTGGCCGTGAAACTAAAATGTTTTGTGTTTGATTAAGTGGCGCATTTTCTTTCAAAATGACCTGAAAATTCACCTGGGGGTTCAATGGAAAGAAAACTGTGATAAGGTTTATGGTGTGAAAAACAAAATCTATATGTAGAAAATTCAAGGTAGGGGATTTGTGTAATTTTTCCTTTTGTAAATGACATAGAAAACTAGTATTTTCAGTTGTGTAGCACAAAATAATGAAATTTTCGGTGTTTCCACACCTATATTTGGGTGTGGAGTAATATAGGTGTGGAGTGCCATTGTTGTGCTTCAAACTCATTGTCACTCGAAATGCTGCCCCAAGAGCTCTCATATGAATTTTTGGGTGCCCCAACATCTCTCCTATGTATTTTTGGGCGGCATTGCTGGGAAATGGTTTGGTGAAATAAGGCCAAAAAATGAAAAAAAAAATACGAAAAACACCTTGTTGTTTCCGGGCAAGCAGAGCACTTTCTCAAGACAATATTTGTCCCCTTCGATACTATAGTTGGAGTGCATAAGAAAAAGTATTTCATCCTCGGGATACAAAAAAACATAAGGTCTTTTTATATGCTTTACAGTTCCACGCAACTGAACTAGATGCCTACTGTAGAACACTAGAAGTATGTATTCTTAGTGAGAGAAAGAGAGTAAAAATGAGTAGAGAGAAAGGGATGAGTGCTCTGTATGCTCTTAGGAATTTCGTAGAAAGACAATGGAGTGTTGTATCTTTCGTATGGGGAAAATGACCATTTTTATAGAGCTCCAAAAGGCTGCCTATAAATTGTTGAAGTGGTTACGTGCACCACCAACAGTCACAAGTTACATGTACTGCCTTTAATCGCGATGGTTATAATCTGTTACAAGCCTCCATCTCTTCAATTGATAGTGACCATTGAATGTCCCACACACAACCCTCTCGCAAAACGATATCTAGCCTTGAGGCCTACTCGTATTTAATTGAGGGAGCTCATGCACCGATGCAAGCATGCAAAGTGAATCATCAAGTACTGACACCCATAGCCATGCCCACGTCCTCGCACACGTGCTTGTGCGTCGAACACTTTGTGTGCTTCGCACATACACCATTATTCTCACCTTTGTTTTAAGAGTATAAAGCATGAGAATACTCATACTTAAATACCACTTAATCCATACTCCTCTTCAATGTGGGACTGAAACCCACACCTTTCTCTTTACAAAATAAAACTTAAAGAAATCCACATAAAACACTAAATTATTTTGAAAATAAAAAAAATACTAACAGGCATCTCTTTAGAAAATAAAACTTAAAAAAATCCACATAAAACACTAAATTATTTTGAAAATCAAAAAAATACTAACAGGCATCAGAACATAACCAACACGTACAATATAAAGGACAAAAGGGTGCATCCAAAAGATAGAAATGCATTGGACCTTGAACATTTATTTAGCAATCCTCAACGCCCTATCCACACAGACTAGTCTGGATCCATAGAATAGCTTTTCCATGGACCTTTACAAGTAAAACAACTCTGAAAAAAGTAACTCTGAGCACGTCAAGCATACTACAGGGAGAGCAACTTATGCACTTACTCCTCCTGCCAAAAGACGTGTTAGGATTTAAGAACGCTATTAGATACGGAAACAAGAATCTCCAAAATTGCATCCCACCAAAATCATGTACTTATCCAACTAGAAACAAAATAGGAAAGAGCACGAGCCATAATACGAGAAATAAAACATAAAACACACACTCCACAAGACCATAGAGATTTACATGGTTCACCCAAGAGGGCTACATCCATGGGCAAGGCAAACTGAAATCCACTATATCAATGAAAGTTATATCACATATTTTGTGGATGAAAGTTAACTCTTTAATCCTCCACAAAACCCAGTCGAGCAAACCCTTTAAGACCCGATCATCCGATCGGCATCCGTCGATCTCTCATCTCTATTCTACAGCTAAATCAATGTCCCAGAAGAGACCATCTCCATTCTACAGCTAAACCACTGTCCACAAGGAGAACCTTAAGAGCAACTGAGATTTTATCACACTAAAAGGGGAAACCACATAAGATCTTCTTGCAAACTGCTTCTCTATGAGAAACCAGCCTCAATCTATAAGAGGTACATCCATGGTGTTTTTCTCCGTAGGAAGCCCTCTTCTCGATTAGGGAGGCCTTGCATATGCTGAGGAAGCCCTTCCTCTCTCTTTAGAGGAAGCCATCTTTCCCGTATAATGATCCAAATCGAACACACAAAAACAAATTCTCTGCACTTTCATCCTAGATATATATATAGGGAAAGGATTTGATATGCCCGCTTGCGTATGAGGCTTTCTACGTCAACGATTGTGATTGTATTTACCCAATCATCTTGATTTTAAATCCCAAGGGCCCTATGGCATTGAAAAGAAACAACTGACAGCGGTGATCCATCTCTCCCTCTCACACGATGGGAACTCTCTCTCTCTCTCTCTATCTACCGCTCACCTCTCTCTCTCCATCTCCTGCCTGCCTCTCTCTCTGTAACTCATCTCTCTCTGTCTCTCTCTAGCTGGCTCCTCTCTCTCAAACCCTCATTGCCCCTCTCTCTCAAACCCTCGATGACCCTCTCTGAAATCCTCGCTGGCCTGCTGCCCCTCTCTCTCAATCTCTCTAAAACTCGCCCCTCTCTTTCAATATCTTACCCGCCTACCCCTCTCAGCCCCTCTCTATACATCTCTCGTTGCCCATCCCTCTCGTTTTGGGGGTTTGGTTGTTTTGGGTTTCGGAGGTTGCCCATTCCTCTCGTTTTGGGGTTTGGATGTTTTGGGTTTTAGGGGTCTGATATAGTTACAAAGCCAACTGAAGCGATGATAGCATGGTTAACGTAGTATTGGGTTTCAACCCAACAGCTTGAAGCTCGAAACTAAAATTGCAAGGATTCTAAGTAAAGAAGCAGTCCTTTTTGTGCCTTCTGGTACAATGAGTAATCTCTCGTTGCCATCTCTCTCAATCTCCCTCTATGCCCCCCTCTCTCTCTAGAAATATAATCTAAAACACTGCTCCCTTGCTGTTGCAAAGGCGATTGGGACAATCTTCGGTGGATTTGAGGTTCAAGTATGCTATTTTTTATTCTTTACCCATTAATGTTTTATTTTGATTTCTAAAGTCGATTTCTTTAATTTTTTTAGGAGATTTTTGAATTTGTTTCAGTGCTTTCTTTTAATCCTTTCTTTTTTTTATAGGATATTGTGTTTGTGCTTTATTTTGAGTTTTACATGTGATATGAATTTCTAGTTTTGGGTTTTGGGGTTTTGGTTGTTTTGGGTTTTGGCGGTTTTGGTTGTCTCTGTGCATAAGCTTTGCTCTGAGATTCGTTCTTAAGATGATAAAACAAATTTTTTTTTGGTTCCCTCTCTCTCTCTCTCTCTCTCTAAATATACAACGTAAAACATAAAAAATTTATGAAATTTCAAAAAAAATTTGTACTTGTATAAAAAATTTCTATATAGGAAAATTGTTTTGCTACTCTTTGATTCAGAGAAAAATTTCAAGAACATAGTGTTTTGTACTGTTTGAACTGTTTTCATTCATAGCAAAATTTCAAGAACATTGTTTTGCACGGAACTGTTTTACTACTCTTTGATTCAGAGCAAAGTTTCAAAAGAATTTCATTAGTGTTATGGTTCACTGTGAGATTAGAGGAAGTGAAGTGATTCTTGGAGATTAAAGCCATATTCATCTTTTAGAGAATGGAGGGATTTCGACAATTGGATGCACTCATTCAAAAACAATTTCGAGCAATTTGGATGGAACGATGGATATCAATCTTATTGAAACTGCAATCAGGGATCCTGTAGAGGCCATGTGTTATCTGACTATATGGCTTATTTCTTGGAGAATACGCAGGCTAAGTATGTTTTCTCTTTTGGTTTGATGGATGAAATTTGGGTAACTAAATTTTTGAGTTCTTACATGCTCGTTTTTTGTTTTTTTTTTTTCTAACGGTGTATTCTTGTGGTGCTATGTGTCGAATTTAATTTGAAGATTATTACTAATTGATAGGCAATTATTTTAGTGTTTGATGATTTCTCTAGATACCCATCAGAAATAAAGAAAAGAGAAGAAATAACGATATGGTTGGGTTTTCTTTTCTGTAATTGTGATTTTACAATTTGCTGAACTTTTGCAATGTTTATGTTGAGCCTGCTTTCAATATTCTACAATGATTTTCTTTAGTAGCATGTGCTTAATTAGCATCTCTTGGATTGTGTCCAAGGCTCTAAGCTGAAATCGCCTAAATTTCTGAACGGCACTTTTTATAAAAATATTCTTCAAATGCTAAATCAATGTATCTAATGTTAAGCCAAATTTCTCTGTGTTCTGGTCTTCATACTTATATTATATGGCCCATTAATTTTTCTGGCTTCTTGGCAGTTTCATTATTTTATTTTATTTTTTTCTTTGGCATCAATGTATAGAGACGAAGGATTCAACGAATATATTCACTTTGTTTTCAAATCATGTCTGGTACTCAGTGAGGCTCCATTAACTTCGTTTTCTGATTTTTCTTCATGAAAATGACATGGTCTCAGTTCAATCAATGTTGCATACTCGTGATTACTAATGAGACCATGACAATAAAATATTTTCAAAACCTTTTGAATTAATCTAGTTAACCTCTTGTGGGCAGAGGCAAAATATTGTGAATACCATTTGAATGAATTTTGTTTTGTGCGCTTTTCATCATGTGAAGAAGATTCTATCTAATTATGATTATGGGTCCTCCTCAATATAGATATTTGTGGACCTCGAGGTGTTTTAAGA